CTCAGGGTATTCTTGCGCTGTCTTTACCGTTGCTTAAATGTCTGCTTTCCCCTTTCCACTACAAGCCCCATCAGGGCAGAGCCCAGGTATTTATTTTTGGGTCCTAGCACCTAGCACAGAACCAATCCCATTTCCATGGCTAACTGACCTCTTCCTCTGTGCCAGGCACCTCACTGCTGCTTTTTACATGCATCCTTTCATGTATCCTTCATGCATTCCTACGAGGTGGGTGAAGTTATTGTTACCACTTTACAAAGAAGGAAACTGAGGCTGAAGGCATATAGCAAATACCTGATACGAGAGAATCCAGAGCCTGCTTAGCAACTTCTCAGCATTAGGAATTCCCTAAACATGTGTTGACTTAACGAAGCACTTACTAATGTTCATTCATAGAGCTGTGGCTTGGAAAACTATTGTGTGCCAGGAACTTCTGTCTACATTGTCTCCATGGAGCACAAGCAGGGTCCTTGTACTGCAGGAAGCGCTTTGGGCTGGGCCCCTAGGAATAATCTCTGGAACCCACTGCAGAACTAGTGTTGCATGAGCGTTGCTAGTTCTTTCTTAATCAGGAAAGTGGAGATCAGGAAGCAATCTCTGGACCTGTTGGCTCTGTTCTCACCCCATTTTACACGTATGGAAGCCAAGACATGGACGAGTGACACACCCACGGTCACACAATTTCCCTCTGAGTCTGACCTTCAGACTTAATCACTACCCTTTATTTCATCACTCAGTCTTTTTTCAACTAACATATATGGAGCATCTTCTCGGGTGAGACCCTATGCTAGGAGCTGAGGGGACAAAGCTAAGACCCAGATGCTAGTTTTACGATGTGTGCCCTGCAGTTGCATGGCTGCAACATATCAATAAGCCATCTGGCTCTGGGTCTCCACTCGTGACTATTGCGAGTCCTGACACTAGAGATAACTCACTTGTTTTCATTTCTTTTGGTACTTCTAAGCTGTACTTTTCCATAGCAATGAGTAATATTTCAAGTTTATTTCTGAAACCTGTTAGCTTTTCTTCTCCTGCTGGGAAACGGTTTCCCAGAAAGATTCCAAGAGTTTCAAAGGCATAATTTACACAGAGAGCTTAAGAGTTCACATCAGCTGATGGCTCATGGTTGCCTTTGTTTTGCTTTGCTTTTCAAACAGCAGAAGGGGGCCAAGTAGGCATTTCAAAATAGCGAAAGTCCAGGGGAATGGAAATTGCTTCAAATTAAGCCAAATATTTACTAGGGTGATTTTTAAACCTTGCAAATGTTGAAATAGCAGAGAAGGAAAATGGATTGTGGTGACAATGTATTTGCTATTAGTTCTCGGTTGCATGTGGCAAAAATCCAGGTGGTTTAGACAGGAGAAGGATTTATTTTAAGGATACGGGTGTCTTATAGAACCAAAGGAAGGGATGAAGTTGGGCCTCAGGGAGGGAATATAAACAAGAACCAGAAAGGAGGCCAAAAAAAAGGCTGAGGGGGTGTGTATGTGTGTGTATGCACATGTGTACATGCATGCATATCCGTGTTGATTGGCTTTTCCTGCCTCTCCATCCATGTGGCAGAATATGGCTAACCTGACAAGACCCTCAACTTAAATACTACCATCCTGGGCTTCCCTGGTGGCACAGTGGTTAAGAATCCGCCTGCCAGTGCAGGGGACACGGGTTTGAGCCCTGGTTCGGGAAGATCCCACTTGCCGCGGAGCAACTAAGCCCATGCGTCGCAACTACTGAGCCTGCGCTCTAGAGCCCGCGAGCCACAACTACTGAATCCCGTGCGCCTAGAGCCCGTGTTCTGCAACAGGAGAAGCCACTGCAATGAGAAGCCCGCGCACCGCAACGAAGAGTCGTCCCCACTGGCCACAACTAGAGAAAGCCTGCACGCAGCAACGAAGACCCAACGCAGCCAACACAACATACATACGTACATGCTACTATTCCAAGAACACTCAGAGCTCAGCTGTCTTTTACTACCAAATTGAGTTCCCAGGAGAAAATCTCATTGGCCCATTGGGTCAAGTGTACAAACCTGATCCAGTCCATTTCAGCCAGAGTGGGCATGGTCACATGTCATAATTGAGGCTGCTAGAGGGTCATCCATATATCCAATATTGCAACGAATATGTATTAAGTGCCTATTCGACCAGATGCTGGAAAAAAAGCTGTGATCACCAGGACAAACGTTTGCACTCTTGAGGACAGTTCTCAAACGGAGAGGGTAGCTTGTGGCCAGAAACTCCCCAAAAGATTTCTACCACACAGTTTCTAAGTGTTTAAAATTTGTTTTCAATGGTGAAAACTCACTACCTCATAGAGTTTCCCTAAGATCCTAATTCCTAATCTTAATCTTTAGCCTTTATGCATTTATTCACTCCTTCCCTTCAATAACATTTATTGCGTATTAGATGCTGAGGAGAGTAGGATGCCCTAGTCTTGAAGCGCTTAAGGCCCTTAGGAGGGATTCAGACTTCGGCAAGACATTCATTAACGTACAAGGACAGACGTATATATGAGAAATATTGGGGAAACAACAGTCAATGAGGTCTATTCAATCCTGTGGCCAGGAAGGGCTGAAAAGGTGATTTTGTGTTGCTCTGCTTTTATTTCAAAGGTACCTGGAAGAATACCATGAAAGCCTAAATACCTGGCATACATTAGCAGAGCTGGAATCTCTGGAGTCTTCAGTTTCATTTTAGTGACACACCACGTTCTAACCTTACTCAGAAATGCCCTCTAACCTCTATCATCCCTCTCACCCTCTGGTGGGTCAAGGCTGAGAGAGTATGGTTGGCGTTCTTTAATCCTTCCCAACTATGATGAAGACATCAACCATTCAGAGCTTCAGACTGGGATCTTGGGTTGGGTCCCACTGAAGAGCTAAACCATTTGCAACTCTCCTCTAGAAGGGTAGCATGCATCTGCCTAATACCACCCCTCAAAACGCCTTAGCAGCTCCTAAAATGTCTTTTTTAATGAACCAATCATAATACAGTAAGTCCCCTACATACGAATGAGTTCAGTTCCACTTGTAGAGGATGTACACACGCGACAATATACGCCAGACACGTGAACTAACTTACGTGATTGGACATGCAAACGCACGTTTGCATCTTTGAAAGTTCGCAATTTGCAGGTTCGTACATAGGGGACTTACTGTATTTAATTATCCATGAACACCACTTTCTTTTTCAATAGGAACATCTAAGTTTTAGTCTAGACCTCCTTCACATTGTGAATTAAAGACTCTTCTACATCACTCTGGGCTCAGTCATGAGGTTTTATGATGTCATTTTATCGTGTTCTGTTTTGATGCATCATTTCAAAGACTGATGTTCTTTCGTTATTTGTAGTATTTTCTTTCTACTAAGCTCTCATTCTGCAAGCTTGGTGCAGATATTACAATAAGGCATAAGAAGAAAGCAAAGTCGGATCACTATAAGTTTCATACTCTTTCCTTAGAGAACTGGTCCTCAAACTTCAGTGTGCATCAAAAACGCTTGGAGGGCTTGTTAAAACACAGATTTCTGGGCTCCATCCCCAGCATTTCTGATTTAGAAAGTCTGGGATGAACTTCAAGAACTTTATTTCTAACAAGTTTCCAGTTGGTACCAATGCTGTGGCCAGGGCCACACTTTGAGAACCAGTTGCCTTTGATCTTCTCTAAACAGTTTCTTGAAACATCAAGGGCTTAAAGGTGACCAGCTGTACCTTCAGCTGATTAGATGAATTAACTGTCCATGGAACCCATTAAAAATTTATGGCTAATTGTGTTAACTAGAGATGTCTTGTATGAATATTCAAGAAAGTTTTACCAGCCTTGTATCAGCACAAAAATCTACGTTCACCTTTCATGCAAGTATAATTATATCTTTGGGAAAGAAAATATATACACCATGTTGTAACTTGTGTTTTGAAATGATACAAGGTCCAGCGAGTTATTTTGTGGATACTGACAAACTGATTCTAAAGTTTATATGAAAAAAATAAATAAAGTTTATATGAGGAGACAAAATACCCAGAATAGCTAACACAATATTCAAGGAAGAGAACAGAGTTGGAGGACTGACACTACCTGACTTCAAGACTTAGTATAAAATGACAGTCATCAAGACAGTGTGGTGTTGGCAAGAGAACAGACAAATAGATCAGTGGAACAGAATAGAGAGCCCAGAAATAGACTCACAAATATAGTCAACTGATCTTTGACAAAGGAGCAGAGGCTACACAATGGAGCAAAGGTAGTCCTTTCAACAAATGGTACTAGAACGACTAGACATCCACATGCGAAGAAAAAATGAATCTAGACACAAAACTTACACCATTTATAAAAATTAACTCAAAATGGATGGATCGTAGACCTAAATGTAGAATGAAAAACTATAAAACTCCTAGAAGATAACAGAGGAGAAAACCTGGATGACCTTGGGTATAGTGATGACGTTTTAGGTTCAACACCAAAGGCACATTCCGTGGAAGAAATAAGTGACACACTGGACTTCATTAACATTAAAAGTTTCTGCTCTGCATGAGGCAATGTCAAGAGAATGCTATGACAAGACGTGGGCTGGGAGAAAATATTTACGAAAGATCCATCCGATTATTGTCCAAAATATATAGAGAACTCTTAAAACTGAACAATAATAAACAACCCAAGTAACCTGATTTTAAAATGGCCCAAAGACCTTCACAGACACCTCACCAACAAAGACATAAAGATGGCACATAAACATATGAAAAGAAGCTCTACATCATGTGTCATCGGGGAAATGGAAATTAAAACAATAATGAGATATCACCCCATACCTATTAGAAGGGCCAAAATGCACAACACTGACAACACCAAATGCTGGTGAGGAAGTGGAGCAACAGGAACTCTCATTCATTGCTGGTGGAAATGCAAACTGGTACAGCTACTTTGGAAGACAGTTTAGTGGTTTCTTACAAAAGTATACATACTCTTTACATACCATTCAGCAATACCATCCAGCATTTATCCAAAGGAGTCAACAATTTATGTCCCCACAAAAACCTGCGCATGGATGTTTATAGCAGCTTTATTCATAACTGCCCAAACCTGGAAGTTACCAAGACGTCCTTCAGTAGGTGAATGGATAAATAAACTGTGGTACATCCAGACAACACAGTATTATTCAGCACTAAAAAGAAATGATCCAGGAAAAGACATGGGGGAACCTTAAGTGCACATTACTAAGTGAAAGAAGTCAATCAGAAAAGACTACGTACTGTATGATTCCAACTATATGACATTCTGGAAAAGGCAAAACTATGAAGACAGTGAAAAGATGAGTGGCTGCCATGGGCTCGGGGCAGGGATGAATAGGTGGAACACAGAGGATTTTTAGGGCAGTGAAACTACTCTGGATGATATTATAATCATGGATACACATCACTGTACATTTGTCCAAACCTATAGAATGTACAACACCAAGAGAGAACCTTACTGTAAATTCTGGACTTGGATAATAATGATGTTTCAATAGGTCCATCAGTTGTAACAAACGTAACACTCTGGTGGGAATGTTGATAATGGGGGAGGTTGTACATGTTGGGGGATCAGTTTTGCCGTGAATCTAAAATTGCTCTAAAAAACAAAGTCTTTAAAAAAATTAAATACATTACACACACACACACACAAATATATACGATACAAGGTGACAGGAGCAGTAATAAACAGCATCAAAATGATGTATTTCATTTCAAAACTGGTGCTTTGAACTTACTACCTTCAACAGCTTTAGGATTGGCAGCATAATTTTAAATTTATTTTAAATTGTGATAAAATACACATCACATAAAATTTATCATCTTAATCGTTTTAAGCATACGGTTCAGCGACATTAAGCACGTTCACACTGCCGTGCAACCATCACCACTGTCCATGTCCAGAACGCTTCATCTTGTAAGACTGAAACTGTGACCATTAAACAACCCATTTTCCCTCCCCTCACCCCTGGAAACCACCATTCTACTTTCTGTCTCTATGAATTTGCTAAAATTCCTGAAATGCAGAAGTGGATAAATACCAACCGAGACTTTAAAATAGCATAAAAATACGTACTGATAAACCATTTGCAGAGGAAGAGAAAAGATGAAAAGAGTATGGGTATCATACTAGTATCAACGCTAGTAACGCGCGCTGGTGCCAATTTCCCAGTAAGTGATGTTGTTGCTAAGTAACCTGCCCTAACACCCTCTCACTTTCTTTCCACACCACACATCTCATTTCTCACCAGATCCTAAGTGGCCTTTGTGCCCTTTATCTCCAATTCTAATGATTGGGTAAGAGCAGTGGACGACCAAAATACCATGAAGCCCAATGTGTTTTTCTTTTTTTTTTTTTTCTCCTCATCTTTGAAACCCTGATGTTACTGAACAGTCTGAGCAGAAACACGTCATCAGCCTCAGGTGTACAAAAAACCTGGCCACAGGCCCAAGCTGGGTGATGACGCGGGCCAGGTTTGCAAGGTCGCGGCACAGGAGCAAGCCAGCACTCTAGATGCCTGGACACAGGGTTCAAAGGAAACAGCTAGCAAATTCTTAATGTAGTCAATCCCCAGGCCAAAGGTAGACTTTTCAGTAAATTAATAATCCCTGAGTGACATGTGATGACTTCTTTCTAAGACATTTCCCTTCGCCCTGCCCAACCCCGACCTACACTTCATCCCTTGTGAAGTGAATGGAGCTCCTTGGAATGACTTCTCCATTTAGACCTTTCCTCGCCCTCTCGCTAAACAGAAACCTTGAGAACACCAGATCGTCAATTTACACTTAGGCCTTTCTTCGGAAGCTAGATGTTTTGGTGCCTTTCAATTTTACTTTATTGACTTCTGAGAAGTTTGCTTTAACAACAACAACAACAAAAAGTAAAGGTTCTGGCAAAAGGAAAATAATGTTTCATGAACACACTGTGTGTTTACCCAAAAAAGCAGCTCCCAGATCATGTTTTTAATGCTGTACTTTTCTTTCCCCAATAATTTATAAGATTAATTTTATAAAACTCAAAAGTGAAAAATTACAGGTAAATGCAGACCTGAAAGCTTAGTTCAGGGGTTAAGGTGTATGTTGCATCGTAATCAAAGGGGAAATACTAAGCTGGCGTTATGGGAAAGAGAACTGACATTTACTGAGTCCCTATCATGTGCTAGGGACTCTGCTAGATCTCGTGCTTGACCTCATTTATGACTCCCGTGACAGCTACCACCTCCAATTTTGCAGATGAGTAACTTGTTCAAAGTCATAGAGTCGATAAGTGACCAAATCAGAATTCAAGTGATGTTTTTATTCATTTCTTTAAAATTAGTTATTGGACACCTATGAAGGGCCAGGTGTGAAGGGTCCCATCATTATTCTCCATGGAAGTCCTAATATGTCCAAAGCACTCCTTTATATGAATTACCAAGAATCCTCATACCAACCCTGACAGCCCGATGATATTACTATCTTTGTATCGACTCTGGACACTGAAGAGGAAGAATAATTTGTCCAAAGTCAAATGATGAAGCTAAGTTTTGAATCTAGGTCTGTCTGGGTCAAAAAGCAATACTTTTCATTATTATGTTTTAATTAATCCCCCTGGGCCTCAGTTTCTTTGCCTGTAAAATGGGGCTCACAATAGCTCTATTCATAACGGCCAAAAGGTGGAAATGACCCCAGTGTCCATCAAGGGATGAACGCATAAAAAAATATGATCTAGCCATCCAGGGGCATATCATTCAGCCATAAAAATGCATGAAGTACTGACATAAGCTATGACACGGATGAACCTTGAAACATTACGCTAAGTGAAAGAAGCCAGACACAAAAGGCCACATATTGTGTGATTTCATTTTTTGAAATGTCTAGAATCATGGAGAAAGATTAGTGATTGGCAGGTGATGGGGGTAGTGGGCAATGGGGAGTGAACGCTAATGGGGACCAAGTTTCTTTGAGAGGTGATGGAAATATTCTGGAATTAGTGGTGACGGTTGGACAACCATTGTGAATCTCCTAAAAAACAATGAATTGTACACTTTAAAATGGTGAATTTTATAGACTGAATTATCATCTCATAAACAAACAAATAGGGCTAATAAGGGTATTAACTCCTTAGATTGTTGTGAAGATTAAATGAAAAAAATTCCAGGGAAGTGGTTGGCACAGAATGTACATAGGGCTTTTTAGGCACATAAAAGCCCTCCACCAAATGTTGGCCTTTGAAACGTTCTAGGGGAAGGGCTGGCTGGTGTGGGTGGCCACAGCCCCGCTGTGAGTAGCCTATTCTCTGCCCTCGTTCCTTCCTCCATGACAGCACTTTGTCTGTCCATCTATCTGTCCATGAGACCTCTGAACCTCTACCCCAACAGCCATTTCTCCTGCCTGTCCAGCCTCCTTACTGCTTCCCCTCCGGCCAGTGAGACAAAGGAGTCCCTCTATGTTCCTTGTTCAGGGATGTGGGTCCCTCGTTGTGGCCTCCTCTGATGCTGCCAACTGGATGGAAGAGCCCACAATCTTGAGTAAGAACTCACAGGAGGGGGGAGGTAAGAAATGCCAGGACATGCGCAGTTCTTAACAGGGGAGGCGAGGAGAGGAGAAAGGAAAGGGCTTGTCTCAGAGGGAAAGGGAGCATCGTGTGAATGTCCAAGTGACGTCTGAGGAACTGCCAAGACCCCCGTGAAGAGAAAGAAGACAAGCACGGGTGGGAGGATGAGGGGGTCTCATAGGCCCTGCTATGATGTTTGAACTTCATCCGAAATACCATGGGGCTCTCCTGATGGGCTCGATGAGGGAATGCCATAATCAGATTTCTATTTTAGAAAAAATACTCTCGCAGCGTGGAACAAGGAACAAGGCCATCAGTAAAGAAAGGAATTCAAGGGGACGGGAAGGTGGGGAGAGAGGGTGGGCAGTGCTAAGTCCAGTTTGGGTCCTTTTGAGTTGAATATGCCTATGGGAACTGGAGATGGAACTTTCTGGAAGGGTCGGGTGACTGAGTTTGGAGCATCAGAGGGAGCCTTAGGAGAGAGAAGGTGAACAGCGCCAGGTAGAAGAGGAAGCATGAGTGTAGTTGAGGTCCCCAAAAGGAGAGGGACGGAGCCAGACATGAAAGAGGGTGTGGAGGGAACTGACATTTACAGGTGGTGAGAGGAGAGCAGGGCTCTCAGTCCAGAGCACATGAAGTTGAGCTATTGTTTAGCCAAGACACGGAAACAACCTAAGTGTTCATAGAGAGATGAATGCATAAAGAAGATGTGGTACGTGTATACAATGGAGTACTACTCAGCCATATAAAAGAATGAAATAATGCCATTTGCAGCAACATGGGTGGACCTGGAGATGATCATACTAAGTGAAGTAAGTCAGAAAGAGAAAGACAAATACCATATGATATCACTTGTATGTGGAATCTAAAATATGACACAAATGAACTTATTTGCAAAACAAAAACAGACTCATAACATAGAAAACAAACTTATGGTTACCAAACGGAAGGGGGGGAAATAAATTAGGAATTTGAGATGAGCAGACACACACTACTATATATAAAATAGATAAGCAACAAGGACCTACTGTATAGCACAGGGAACGATATTCAGTATCCTGTAATAAACCATAATGGAAAAGAATCTGAAAAAAAAAAAATGAGCCACTGTTGCCACAATCTGGCATTCGAATCCTAGCTCTTACACTTCCCCACCATTTTTTGGAAAAGGCATTTTCCTTCTACATCTGTAGTTCACCCCCCGAGTCGTGAGAACATCACCAATTTTTAAGAGACCACTACACATATTTCTCCATGAACAAATGTTGTGATGGGCAGGTGGGCGTAGAGCCACATACAGAAATAGCCTGGCGATAGCGTGGTCATCAGTATAATCCAACAAAGTGGTCACAGATTTTGTTTCTTTTTTTCATGCTGAGAGGTTCATCATTTTTGTACTGTTGCGGAGCAAATAAGACAGCAACATATATTGTGCAATCTGCATGGCCAGCTGCCCGTACTGTGATTGTCCCAGCCCACTTCTAAGGGCAAAATGCTTTCACTTTGTGGGGCTGGGGGCGAACAAGAACCCTTCAACCATGTGAAGGAAAGTATCAAGTCACCTCCCTCCCTATTCCTTCCCACCAGTTTAGCCCAGTTTTTCTTACTGAGCAAATGATTCTCTAGCAGTCTCAACAATAAGGGAGCCAGAGTTGAAAACTGGCCATATTTTGAACTGTCTTTCCAAGAAATTATTTGCTTTTTCTGAAACGTGTAGATTTTTTTTTTTATCGGAGTAAAATTGCTTTACAA